AAACTTTGTATAGCCACTTTGTTGACCAGGCAGCAATAAATCACCACATATTGTTCATTTGTGATGTGAAAAGAAAAATACAAATTCCTTTTTCCTACATCGATACTAAGAAAAGGATGCATCCGGATCCAACATATGTTTATTTTTCAATCTATATCCTAAAACTTCTGCCGATTCTTTAGAAAGGCCTAGATCTCTTACTAAATCGCTCAGTTGAAATTGTGAGATTGGAATGGGATCGGTGGTGCCAGGATCGTAGCAATCACTGTGTTCTTCACTATCACCTTGCTGATCCAATGGTTCGTGATCATCATATATGTCATCCAAAGAATCTGGAGGAGAGTTTATTGGTACTTCAAGTCTATGAGGGACAGGGCGAATGGCTTATTGAATGTTGGGGTAAGAAATATTCTTTTTGTTTGTCAAATTGAAACCTCGTACTGAAACCTCATTACTCCGGGAGTATTGGATTTTAGGAAGTGTAAGACTTCCAAATTCCAGAAGAACTGGAAGAGAGGTGATGATATAAAATACTAATAGAAAGAATACTAAAATATGGCTAAGCTCAGAGGAACAAAATTAAATAGCCAAAGAGACGCTAAATCTCAAGTGAGTGTTCGGGCTAGCTTCAATGCACTGGATTGTGGCTTTAAAGATATAAACAGATAGCAAGGATACTGAGCTAATGAGACAAGAAACGAAATGAGACCTGGTAATATCAAATGTGATACAACTAAAGAAGGTCAATGGGAATAAATTTAAGAGAAAAAGAAGGGCGCCAACTCAACGATAGTTGAGATTTTGAAGTAACAAAGGACCGGAAACAAATGATACTAGAGATAATAACCTGAAATCCAAAAATACTAAATATTAATCTTGTCTTGCTATATTATATACTGGTTAGTAGAACTGAAATAAAACTCAAAATAATAACAATAAATATATTTATAAAACTTGTATATAGATATACATGTATGAACAATTTACATATAATGGAAAGCTAAATAACAGTGGTAGTGGGTAGTGTAAAGATACAATAGGACCTAATAGCCCCTCACAAGCGAATAGTCACTACCACTGGCCAAATAAAGTTTAAAATATTAGTAACACCAAGAATAGTCCGTATGGTAGCCAAGGTCTTAACAGTAAAGGTTAGTAATTTGTGTTTAAATAATTCAACTAAAATGAGATACTAATTATAATATTGTAAAGGTATCAACCTTGATAAATCTATTACAATCATACTATATTACAAGTGACTTGTTCCATACTCATTATATCAGATTTAAAAAAAAACCACATAAAATTTATTTCCCTCCCCAATTAAAATTAAAAAAAATATATATCAAAAGTGAATTCTATTAAAAAAACATATATTAAATCAACCAGTGAGTTCGGTCAGACTCTGTATATCCTATTTTGAAATAAAAACCTCATAAAGCATGAAAGGTATTTTCCCTCTCCCAATAATATCAAAATTATATTTTATCAAAATGTAGTCACTTGATCATATGCATATGAAAAGTTAACAAATAGACAGTAACAAAAAAAATTACACAGTCAAACAACTTATCTTTACAGCACTATAAGTCCATAGGAAAAACTCCTCTTGGCACGGCTAAATTAATTTGTTGCTGTAAGGACAAACCCAGGTGAGTCTAATGTAGTCAAACCAGGCACTGGTCTATCTGCTCCGAGAAATCGGTAACTCCATAACCGAGTTGTTAACTATTCAAGAAATTTTGTTACTAGTATCCTTGAGGAAATATTCTCAAGAGAATACTCTCAAGTGAAGTGACGGAATCTAAAAAGGTTATGTAATTTAATAAATGTAATTTAATAGGTGTAGCAGCATGGATTGACTGCACCAAAACAAAACATCAAAACATTAGAGGTCTAAAATGTCAAAATTTTCGAAGTTCATTTCGTAGACATGACAGGTTTGCGCCATGAAATGAACACGCGCAGAACACAGAAGGCTGTAGAAACCTTGTATATTCCACCAAAAAAAAAGTGAGAGAAAAAAGAACCAAAAAACTTACTGATAAGATATGGAATAAAACAGAATTTAAATTTAACTATATAAAAAATGACCTTATGTTCTTTGTAAGTAAATCAAGGAAATTTTATATTTAAATCATTTCGGAACTCAAAAATAAATCTCTAAAGAAATACTAAACTGCAATGATAAATTTGATTATATGATAAAGAGATAATACGTATGAAATTATTTACTTACATGGAGCCGCAGCACGCCAAAAACAACTCTTCCTTTTTATATGGAACTCTTATAAATTAGAAAATCTTGATTTTAAAAATTAATTATTATTATTAATATTTCTATTTTATTCTTCCCCAAATTATTTTCCTGGCTCCAATTCCGTCACTTTGAAGGTGAAAAAATTTCACCGGTTGACGTGGCTGCGTTGAGTTCTGACCAAAACTGATCGTTCTCGTACAAACTCGACCAATCTTCCTTTTTAAGCGACTACTGCGCGTGTGGAGAAAAATGTCCATTTAAAAATCGATCGCTGGCGGAACACAAAAATTTTCGTGAGGGGTTAATCAGTAGCGTAAACGCTACAGTACGTTGCAAGAACAAAAATAACAGTCATTACTGTGATTTTTGGGCTCCCCCCAAACCATTGGTATTCCAAATCGTAAGGACTGCTTACCTTAAAACCGTTGCCTCAGTTTTTCAACACACACTGAACAAACTTTATGCGGGGCCCAAGGCTTATCTTGGGCCCCACAAGGGCTATACTGTTTTTGGAGTTTGGAGGACCCCATAATGTATACGAAAATAAGCGAAATATACTTTTTCAACGAAATCTGAAACGTCTCTTAGTTGCTTTTTAACGGTATAGTTACCGCAACTGGAACAGTAATTTGGCGAGTTTATACATCCTCTGGTAGCTATTATTCAATGTCTATACAACACATAACTTCACAACTCAAGAAAATAGTCACTACTTTAAATCACTAGTAACAACAACACGTGAACTGCACCGAGTGTAGAGCTGTTTGTGAACTGTAGATCAGTAGCAGAACAAGCTCACTGCTTGTTAATTTTGGGTAAAGGGGTGCGTGACAGATAGGCACTGATATTCTCCTAATTACTCTTTATTATATTATTTTGTGAAATAACTGTACGTGATGGAATTTTTTCACAATTTTTCCCGAAATCAGCGATGAAAACAGTATGAAAATCACTTATCAAATTTTAAACAATTTTTTGGTCGCAGATCTGTGTAATCGATGCATTTTTACGCTATGGGCAAGCTTATTGTTACTACTAATAGTTTTTTTTTCGGACTAATCATATTTTTCCTTCCACTCTTTCGTGTATTATACGACGCAATAAGATGATATTTAGCTCCTGTAACTATGTAGCCGAAGTATCCTGTTTTCCTTTTTTACGATGTTTAAGAGCAATCTGTCTGCATTCATCATTCGAAGAACATCTTTATTAACTCTTTATCTGCTACATTCAAAAATATGGCCAACATGCCAACATGGAGGGTTGTTGTGGAAATGGTGTGATAATATAAATTAAATGATATACTGGATTGGACGGATTGCAAGAAATTGTAGCAGCATAGGAGAGAAGTTTTTCTCGCCTAAGCCATAGAGGAGGTTCATTAGCTTCACAGTAAAGACTTTTTGCCGGAATAAAACGGAATGCTCCAAGACATAGACGAATAGCTGTGTTGTGTACTGTATTTAGTGAATTTAAGATTAATTTAGTACCAGACATATAGACGAAACATCCATAGTCGAGCTTGGAGCGGATTAGTGATCTGTAAATCTTAATTAATTAATCTTAATCGATTAAGATCGTGCTACAATATAATGCTTTTTGCATAAAAAAAAGAAATTTACAAAATGTATTTCACAAATAAAAAATTACGAAAAATTGTTATTTTTCTACCCCCAATCGTTAATTTTGCATAAACTAGGGGGTCAAATTTAAAAATAATCCAAAAAACACCATTTTTGCACCTTACAGCTGCCATTAAAAAGTTATAACCCACGGTTTGGAGTTGCAAGCACTTGGAGCAGGCATTGCCTTCATAACGCCATGCTGGTTTCAAAAATTTACCAATTAATGCACGTTTTTTTCTTTGCAGCTTGGGTTATCCGTATATTTATTCATTACTTGAGATAATAATTTGTTACAGCAAATGTGTATTGGTATTAAAAATGATAGCCCGGCCCTGATATGATACACATACCAAACGTGACAGATTGTTGACCATTCATCGTCTGACATTGACGAGTTATCTCTAAGGTGAGATATTTTTATAAACTAGTAAATATTTGTTTTATTTTTTAATTGAACAGAAAAAATATATCAGTAATTTTTTTATTGAACCGTATTACAGGCATTCTATCATTGCAGGCCTAAAAAATTATAATGGGGAAGGAAGAACAATCATAACAAACAAAATTAGATAAATATGAAATGAAAGAGGAAAGTTCTTTGAAAAACTGTAGAGAAAATAGGAATGGGATTTTCAGTTGTTGTTACCTTTTTCCAAGAAGTCAGAAATATCGAATGTTGCAGAAATTAAAACCTCTCTTACATAGATTTCCAAATTGGTCTATTTAGACCTCCGGGGGTGGATTTCAACGTGCAGGGATCCACGACAAGCATAAAAGAAACTGAACCAAAAAAGAACCATTAGAATGTGGCATTTATTAAGTATTGAGTGGATTATTAAACCATGATAGAAATAGATGTTATAATACAAGAAGAGCTGATTGCAATTAGAGCAAGCGAAGAAATTTAGGTGGAGTTTAGGAAAGGATATCAACAGTTCTTGCTTCAAAAAGCTACATTTTTTTTATCCTGCATTATAGACTGCAAAGGAAAATGGCATCTTCTTCTTCACGTGTTATCTCCACGACGGAGATTGGCAATTATCATGGCTATTTTGATCTTAGATGCTGCTGCTCTGAATAGTTCAATTGATGTACATCCGTACCATTCCCTCAAGTTACGCAACCATGAGATTCTTCTTCTTCCTACACTTCTCTTCTTTTTCTTCTTCAGATGCAAATCCATTAATGGATGTTAGCGATCACATTTTCCATTAATTATCTATTTCTTGCAATATGTATCAGAGATTTTGTTTTCAGTCTGAAAACATTCCTTCAAAGAGAAATTCCACAAGAGCAATCTGGATTTACTAAAGCTAGAGGCACTCGAGAACACCTGCTGAATATAAGACAGATAATCGAGAAATCTAGGGAATTCAACATCCCACTATACATCTGTTTTATAGATTACCGTAAAGCGTTCGATAGGGTCAGGTGGAGACACTTATGACGAATACTAAAAGAAGTAGGCGTACCACAACATCTAATTACGCTTATAACTGAACTATATGAAAACACTACTGGATCAGTTAAAGTACTTGACACACTTTCGAACTAGTTTCATCCAGAACGGGGTGTCAGACAAGGATGTATACTATCTCCACAATTATTCAACATATATGGGGAGTATATTATGCGAAGAGCACTTGAAGGATGGGAAAAGGGCATCTCAATAAATGGTCATAAACTAAACAACCTACGTTTCGCAGATGACACAGCCCTTCTTGCAAATAGTCAAGCAGAGCTGATGGAACTTATACGACTGATCGAAAACGAAAGTCAAATATTTGGTCTGCAATTAAACATATCAAAGACAAAGATCATGTTAGTGGATAGACTACACAACAATCATCCACACATAACCACAATTGACCGGTTCGAGGTTGTGAGCTCATACTTATATCTGGGATCATTAATCACAAACACAGGGTCATTACAAGAAGATATTAAACCAAGATGTGATCTAGCAAAAGTTGCCACAGCAAAAATGACCAAAATATGGAAGGAATGTCAAATTTCAAGAGCGATAAAGATGAGGTTGATCAACTGCTTAATATTCCCAATACTGACCTACGGATGTGAATCTTGGACTCTGAGACAATCGGAGAGAAGAAAGATAGACGCCACTGAAATGTTCTGTTGGAGACGAACGTTACGAATTCCTTGGACCGACCGTAGAACAAATAATTAAATTTTAAGAGAGCTAAAAGTTAACCAACGACTCTCTAGTAAAGTCCATCTCCAACAATTAAAATATTTTGGACATGTTATGAGAGCAAACACAGAAAACATGGAAAGACTCATAAAACAAGGAAAGGTAGAAGGCCGAAGATCACGAGGAAGATCCCCAACCAGATTTCATAGATCAAATTACAGGAATATGAAAAAGACCTATGTATGAATTAAAAGAAATGACCAGAGACAGAGATCTCTGGAGAAGGACAATACACGACATCACGTCGACCACTACACTCCCCCTGGGGGTCAGGATTGAAGAGAGAGAGAGTATCAGAGATTGTATGTCGTTAATCCCTGTCCATTGCCTTATGTTTCGGAGCCAGGACATTTTCTTGCGTCCCATTCCTCTCTTGCCTTCAGTTTTACCCTCGATTATAAATTGGAGGAACTGGTATTTTTCATTTCGCATGATTTGACCTAGATACGCCGTTTTCTACACTTCTCTTGCCCTGGATTTTCTCTTGTATAATCAATTGAAGTAAGTTGTATCTCTTATTACGCATAACATGCCCCAGGTATTGCAGCTTTCGTGTCTTGATGATTTCCAATACTTCCATTCTTTTGTTGATTCTTTTCATGACTTCGTTGTTTGTCACGTGCTCGTTGCATGATATCTTCATGATTCGTCTATATACCCTCATTTCAAATGCTTCCAATTTTTTAGCAGTCGACGCGTTAAGTGTCCATGCTTCCATCCCATAAAGCAGAGTCGAGAAAATATAACACCTTGCCAGCCTAACTCTCAAGTCCAATGTTAGTTCTCTTGCACAAAGTACCTTTCTCATTTTATTGTACGTGCTTTCTCTATCCGAACTTTGATTTCTTTGGAGTAATTGTTTGTGTGATTAATTATTGTGCCAAGATAGTGGTAGTTTTCAACTTGTTCTAAAGCAGTGCCGTTAATTGTCAGGCTTTCACCATTATTTTGGGTTTTCGATATCCTCATAAATTTGGTTTTCTTGGTGTTTATTGATAATCCATATTCTTCTGCATACTCAACTATCTTGTTCATTAGCTTTTGGAGGTCTTGGAGGTTGTCTGTTATTATGATAGTATCGTCCGCATATCTAATGTTGTTAATTGGTGTTCCATTGACCTTAATTCCTGTTGTTTTTCCCTCAAGAGCTCTTTTCATAATTTCTTCAGAGTATGCATTGAATAGTAGTGGTGACAATACACATCCCTATCGCACTCCTCTTTTAACTTCGAACTCTTGTGATGTTTGTTCATTAATGCATACGTGTGCCTGCTGTTTATAATATAGATTTGTTATAGTTGTTATATAGGTCATTGTGTTCTAGTTGTTTTGCTTTGAGGATGCCATTAGCTCATTGTGGCGGACTTTGTCAACAGCTGTATTGTAGTCTATGAAACAGATGTACATATCTTGGTTCACATCCAAGCATCTCTGCATTAGTACATTGAATGCAAAGAGAGCTTCACGTGTACCTACGCCATTACGGAATCCAAATTGAGTCTCAATACCTAAAACAGGCAGTAACAAGAGACATCTTTATTATTATTTACATTGGATCTTGTGGTATGCCAGTTACTCATTATAAAATCAACAGATTACCTTGAATAAAACTTCCAATCTTACATTGTTGATAAATTTAAACGATGTTCATTTCTTCGTTTTGTACGAAAAGTTTTGGTCTCCAAATCTTATTTTTAACAGTTACATTGGACAAAAACCCATTAACGATATCATGAGATAACTTATTAGGCCAAAAGGTTCGCATAATCATTATAGTGAAGGTTAAAATTAAAATAATGCAAAAAATGATGACAGTAAATATAAAACAATATGGTTTTTTTATCTAATGCTAATATTGATTTGCGTCATACATTTTAACAATTAACAAATTGTGATAGGTCATGGGCTTGACTGTACTTTAAATTGTTGTTTTGTGCAATAACGTTTAAATAATTTTATTTAAAGATAAGTCATTTGATTACGTGAGATCAATTTTATCTCAAGGGTCATCATCAGAAAAATAATAATTATAGCATTTTACAACAAAATTCATCGTATCCAATCGTGTCAATAAAATATACAATACAGGAATCATCCCTGATAAATGGCTAGAATCAGAATTCATAGCGATACCTAAAAAACAGGGGGCTAAAAAGTGCGAAGAATATCGAACAATCAGCCTAATGAGCCACATGTTAAAACTTTTTTTTAGAGTCATCCATGGAAGAATTTATAAGAAGTGCGAGGAACAAATATCGGACAGACAGTTCGGCTTCATTAACGCAGTGGGTACCAGAGGGGCACTTTTCGGAGTACAGGTACTGATTCAAAGATACAGGGACGTTAACTGCGACGTATACGCGTGCTTGATCGACTATGAAAAGGCATTTGACAGAGTTCAACATCAAAAGATGATAAACATTTTAAAAGAGGCACACCTGGATGACAAAGACCTCAGAATAATTTCAGAACTCTACTGGAATCAGACCGCATACATGAAAATTAACAGAGAAGAAACAGATCACATAAAAATACTACGTGGAGTTAGACAGGGATGTATCCTATCGCCGTTGATATTTAATATGTACTCAGAGAAATTTTTTAACGAGGCTCTTTACGGAATAGATAAAGGCATCCTTCTAAATGATGAACGAGTAAACAATGTTAGATATGCCGACGACACCATGGTGATGGCAGGTAGTTTAGAGGGACTTCAGAGGCTAATGGACAGAATAAACGAGTACAGTCAACAGTACAGACTAAACATTAATACCCACAAAACGAAACAAACGATTATCAGCAAGGAAAATATAAATGGGGCTCATCTATACATTAATGGGATGCAGATAGAGCGAGTAAAACAGTATTGTTACTTGGGAACTATTATTAACGAACAGTGGAGCAATTTACAGGAAATAAAGTGCCGCATAGGAAAGGCAAGAACGGTCTTTAACAAAATGAGCGCCATTTTCAAAAGTCACAACATATCCCTTGATACAAAAATGAGACATGTGAGATGCTATGTTTTCTCTGTGTTGTTGTACGGGGCGGAGGCATGGACGCTTACAGACGCCACTATTAAAAAACTTGAAGCATTTGAGATGTGGCTTTATAGAAGAATGCTGAGAATATCATGGACAGCAAGGATCACGAACAAGGAAGTTCTAGGAAAAATGAAGAAGGAACCAGAGATTGTGTTTACGATCAAACGCATAAAATTGCAATATCTGGGACACGTTATGAGATATCAGCACCGTTACTCCCTGCTACAGTCTATATTGCAAGGTAAAGTCAAAGGTAAGCGAGGATCCGGTAGAAGGAGAATATCATGGCTGCGGAATTTAAGAACATGGTTTAAGAAAACCTCAACGGAGCTGTTTCGAGCCGCAGCGAGCAAGGTTATGATTGCCAATATGATTTCCAACATCCGAAACGGATAGGAACTAGATGAAGAATGTATATGCAGATGATCCCCAGAATGCAAATCACGACGAGTTCACTGCAGATAGAGAAACAAACATTTTAAAGTCAGAGGTAGAAAAAGCAATCAAAAAGTTAAAAAATAGAAAATCTCCCGGCGCAGACCAAATCACCGCAGAAGTTTTAAAAGAGACTAGATATGTTGGAGTAAATGTTATGCATATTAACTGCTAAAAGATTTGGGAAACCGAAGAGTGGCCCAATGACTGGACAACATTCACTTTCATCCCTATATTCAAAAAATGAACTCCGCTAGATTTCAGCAATTACAGAATGGTAACCCTAATATCTCATGCAAGCAAGGTTCTACTTTATATGATACGTGAAAGACTAAAAGCTTTTCTATTGCCTCAGGTATCAGAAGAACAAGCGTGATTTGTTCCAGGAAAAGGCACAAGAGAACACATCCTTAATGTCACCGACCCACCCACAACATCCCACCAGTTAATTCAACTAATTCGAAGTCTATATGAAAATAATAAGTGCACAGTAAAAATAAACACCTACTCCGATCATTTCAGAACAGAGGCAGATGTCAGGCAGGGATGCATAATCTCGCCAACTCTATGTAGTATCTACAGCGAACACATTATGCGAAATGCACTAGACGGATGAAATGGTGGAATATCAGTTGGAGGTCAAAAAATGAGTAACTTGAGATATACCCATGACACTTTAATAATCGCGGCAAATCAAGAAGAAATGGAAAACATAATGAGATGTATGGACGAGAAAAGCAAAACATATGGACTAAAGTTAAATAGGAGTAAGACAAAGATCATGATAGTAGACAGAGCTCGGAATAATCTTCAACACATTAAAGAAATTGGGGGCTTTAAAGTAGCAAATAGTTTCATATACCTGGGGTTCGTAATAACAAATGACTGAGGGTGTGACAGAGAGATACGTAGAGGCTGACTATTGCTAGAATAGCTATGATGAAACTGGTAACAATTTGGAAAAATTCTAGCATAACAATACACACAAAACTAAGGCTGGTAAGGGCACTCATTTTTCCCATAGGCACGTATACATTCGAAACGTGGGCCTTAAAGAAAGCGGATCAAAATAAACTGGACGCTTTTGAAATGTGGGTATACCGCCGCATGTTAAGAATATCCTGTACTGATCATCGCACTAACGTATCGATATTAGAACAACTTAAAGTAAAGGATAGATTGCTTAAACAAATACAACAGAGATATTTGTAGTATTTTGGACACATTGCTAGAATAACAGGTATGATGGAAAAACTGATAGTCGAGGGTAGAGTTAAAGGAAAGAGACCTAGGGGAAGATCTCCAAGTCGTTGGATATATCAAACAAAAATATTTATGAACCAAGGATTACATGAAGCCGAACAACTAGCCCAGGACAGGGAAGGATGGAGGGAAATCGTGAAAAAACTGTAAAGACCTGATGGTGTCACAACATCCCAAAAGGGATTAGGACTGAGGAAGAGAATTTATTGGTTTTCTTACGAAGTGGGAAAACAGAATATAGAACTTTAAGAGTGAACGAATTTTAATGAATCGCTTAACTATTTTACAATTTTGCTTTAAAATTTAGAAGATTATTGGTTTAGTTGTTATGATTCGCTGTCAGATTCTTCAGAGGCATTTAGCTCTGGAAGGGCATCTCGTACACTGTCCTCAGAAGGAAGATTTATGTAAAAATTATGGTAAACAATTGGTATTTGAAGATCCTTACAAAGTTTTGAAGGTCTTTTAGTTTTTTGGTAGTAATTGGGAACCTCGATTTGTAAGGTTTTATTGGAGAAGTATTGGAAGAAGGTCTTTCCCCTTTGTTTTTCATCCCTTTTTTAATGTACTTCACAAAAGGTGCGTCATTTGATTAATCAGTCCTCACGAATACAGCATCTGGATGAGCTGACAGGTACTTAAACCAAATGGCTTTTTTAAAGGGTAAGTGGTTATATTTTTTATTGCCACTGTCAGGGTCCTCAAAAGCAATTTTATCAGTACAGAAATTAATGAAGTCATCATGGCACAAAGGCAATACTTCAAATGGTGTTGGCTTACTTCCAGCACTGCGAATTATTTGGCACCACCCCTCCGGAGTTAAAATTGGGACATTTTTAAAATTAAAAGTGAAACTGAAACAAACCATGAAGTGGAGATATCCAGGAGTGGCTAGTATACCTGTTGAATACAAAGCACGTGGTGGTCGTGTGTATTAAGGTATAAAAAAATGCTTATTAAAAGCTTAAAATTTTTATTTTAAAGAAGATCTTTTCGGAATTGAATCATTCCATCATTAGTTTAATAAAAAGTTGTCAAAAAATATTGTATGGCCACATGAAAACATAGGAGGAGGAAGGAACTCCGTATTAAAAAACAATCCTCATGGTGTTTATGAAGGTAAATGCAATAGACTGTCAGTTTGTTGATTACTAAAAACTGAAAATGGGGCATCTTACATAACCCCCTGTAGTTGGTGAGGTTTGATTGACTTACATTACCTCTGAT